TTTGAACTCAGACTCAGGATCTAAGAGGAGGTCTCACCTTCTCTCCTTAACAACTCAGCATCTGGGCTTCATCAGAGCTCAGAGGCAGAGGGTGTCCAATGCTTGAAGATGCTAAACTTGAATGTGTCTCAGTTTAAACTTGGCTGACACTTAAAAAAGTGTATTAATGTCCAAATGAATGTGTACATTCAGATGAGGCTGTCTGCCCCCTGTTTACCCCAGTCTTCACCAGCATAGGAGGAAGATGGGTTGAGAATAAGGAGTTCAGTATAGTTGGACAAAGCCTTTGTTCAACTTGATTTTCAGTAGACTTAGATGAATTTGGGTGGGGCCAGGGGGGATTGTCGGCTGTCACTCATGTGACAGCATCTCTGAGATGTGTTCTTATCCTCATCTGTGTCTCCACAGAGCAAGCTGGTGAAGTACTTCAGCCGGCAGCTATCCTGCAAAAAGAAGGTGGCTCTACAGGAGCGCAACGCCGAGCTGGATGGCTTCCCTCAGCTCCGACACTGGTTCCGGATCGTCGATGTGCGCAAAGAAGTCCTGGAGGTGACCCTGGACCCCTGCCCTTTATCACCCGGAAGCTTTCCCTTTGGTGGTCCTTCAGGCACCAGGTTTGGGGCTGTGCCCAGCACAGGTCCTGGCCCATAGTAAGCCCTCAGTAAACAGACCTGGCCTGAAGTCGCTCAGGCTCCCTACTGCTGCCCACGTAGCACGTGCCAGAAGGTTCCTCTAGAGCCAGATAGAACTTCTCCTAGCTCTGCTGTCTGTCAGCTCATTCACCATTGGTACTGGACTTTACCTGTCAGGCAGGGCAGGCTGTTGAGCTCTACATCTGATCTGCAGTGCAGAAGCCACCAAGCACAAGGCTGCTAAGGGCACCTACAGTGTGGTGAATGCGTGCCTCTGAGAAGATGGGTTTTTCATTGGATTTAACCCTTTGGGACAAAGATGAGGCTGTCTGCCCTCATTAAAATCCATAGTCTCAGAAACCCTCCAGGTGGCTATGAGCTGGGATTGACTCGATGGCACTGTGTTTGGTTTTTGGACTGAGGCTAGTAGCTGTCATCTTGGATGGCCCAGTCAAAGGCCATTTGTTTTCACATCTGTTAAATGGGAATAGTGACTCCCACTTTCCAAGTGGTTAATGTAGTAAAACGAGATGGTACATATCAGCTGTTCACCTCCTGGCATGGTGCCTAGTTACCCACTGCCATGAGTCCATCCCAACTCACAGCGACTCTATAGGACAGAGTAGAACTGCTCCCTAGGGTTTCCGAGACTGTCAATCTCTGTGGGAGCATCTGGTGAGTTTGAACTGCCGACCTTGTGGTTAACAGCCCAACACTTAACCCACTGCATCAGCAGGTCACCTGGACACCTAGTTGTTGCTACTGTTGTTATTAAGTGCCTTCGAATTGCTTCTGACTCATAGAGACCTGGAATAGTTTCCAAGGAACGCCTGGTGGGTTTGAACCACAAACCTTGCGGTTAGCAGTCCAATGCGGATCTTACAGCGCCGTGCCTAGTTAGCACTCAGTATGTACCAGCTGCTTCTTACGGCTGCTGCTGCTGACAGCTGTGGGAGGAACGGGCTCTCCAGTCTCTAAGCTGAACAGAGCCACTTGAGGTTCGTGTCTGAATATAGGATGACAGCACTTCATCAGTGCCTGTGGGAAAGTGGCTTTTCCTTACTTGTTGGGGTCCCAGGGTCCAAGTTCCAGACACGGGGGTGAGCGAGTCTTCAGCCAGGCGGTGAGGTGAGGGCCATTTACTGCGCCCCACATGACCTTCAGCTTTGTTTTAATTGCAGTAAAATGTGTATGGAGTCCCTGGGTGCTGCAAACAGTTAGTGCTCGCCTGGTAGCCAGGGTGATGGTGGTCTGAGCGCTGAGAGGCACCTCAGACACCAGACCTAGAGATCAGTTCCTGAAAGGTCAGGGCCTTGCGGAGCTTATGGAGCAGTTGTACCCTGCACACGTGGGGTCACTGTGAGTCAGAGCCGTGTCAACGGCAGCTAACAATGACAACGGAACACTTGTAACAAGCGTGGTACCATTGTAACCATTTCTTAGTGTACAATCCAGGTGTGGCGCTGCAGGAGAAGCACTGGACCGCAAGGTCGGCAGTTCAAACTCACCAGCCACTCCACAGAAACCCTACACAGGGTCGCTATGATCAGAACTGACTGAACGGCGCCTAACAATAACAATGTGACATCGTCAGTGCACTGCGCTGCGCAGCTGTCTCCTCTCCCCATTCCGTGGACGTTTGCATCCCTCCAGCCATGTTGGCATAGTGGGTTATGGGTTTACCCACTCATTAATTGTTAACCGCAAGGTCAGCAGTTTGAATCTCCAAGCAGCTCCAAGGGCTAAAGATGAGGTTTTCTGCCTCTGTAACGATTTGCAGCCTCAGATACTCTATATAGGAAGTCCTGGACAACATGCCACCACCACACAGCCGTGTCCAGCAGGAACTCAGAAGGCCGTGGCAGTAAGACCTGTTTCTACCCCCATCGGTGCATTTGACTCCTCTCTGTGTTTCATTTGAGAGGAGGTCCTGCTTTCCCTCAGTGTAATGTTCTCAGTGGGCCTCCATGTTGTGGTGTGTTGTGTTGTGAACGCACTGCACTCTGCCAGCCCGCCCTCTGAGGATGGACACTCCAGTGGCTCCCACCTGCTGGCCCCTGTGTAAAGGGCTGTATGGCACAATGTCTCCAAGCTCCCTAGAGGGCCTTTGTTGGCAAGTCTTTGTTGGACCTTTGCAAGGACCCTCACCATGACTGTTGGAGGCAGCTGTGACTTGTCCCTAGTGTACAGCAGAAGGCTGTGTGTGTCTGGCAGCAGAGCCCAGCTCCAGTGGATGTTGGTGCCTGCTGTGGGAAACACAGTGCTTTCTCCTCACCATCCTGAGCTGGGCAGTGGAGGGTAACCCCTGATGCCGGTAGGATCTGAGTCCCCCCTCCCCCCACCACCTTAATTGATCTTAGTGAACTTGGTGGCACAGTGATTAAGTGCTGAGCTGCTCACCAAAGGTCAGTAGTTTGAACCCACCCACAGCTCCCTGAGAGACACCTGGTGGTCAGCTCTCATAAAGCTGACAGCCTTGGAGACCCTCGGGAGGAGTTCTGCTCTATCCCGTCAGGTTGCTAGGAGTCAGAATGAACTCATGGCTCCGACAAAAACAATACACACACAGCCAAATGTACACTATCCAACTGTTCCTCCATGTGCACCTCAGTCATCCTGGTTACGTTCTGCAGCTTGTGACCCATTCTCACTATAAGACTGTCCCCATCTTCCCGGCACTGTTGTCTTCAACCCACTGCCCCTCCGCTGCCCATCCGGCCTTTCAGGTTGCGTTGTCCGTTTGGTATCCCAGGCAGTCCCCTCTCAAGGCACATGGTGCTCACAGCAGGCCTACCTTATGGATGAAAATACGCTTGTGTTTGATTTGAATACCAGGACTAATACACACACACACACACACACACACACACACACACACACACACACACTCACAGTCAAAAAGTATTGCTACAAAATTTTTGTTTATCCTTTATTTAACACAAACATGTGAAGCTATAGTGTGTCAACCTGCCCTCCACCAGGGCCAGTGTGTTCTGAAGATCTTTCCATCTCTCTAGCCCTTCCCTAGAGAGCTCTGTACCCTTCCATATACACATGGCAGCGCCGATATCCTGGAGGGACTCAGACCCTGTTCCCTGAGTTTGGGGACTAGAAGGTAGTCTGAAAGGAGCTCTGGTAGTGCTGTGGTTACAAATTGGGCTGCGAACCGCAAGGTCAGCAGTTTGAAACTACCAGCTGTTCCG